AAGCGACAACCAGTGGTAGAAAACGAGTAATACGAACGATATGATACAGTCATATCACTTGCTCGCTTTAACAACTGGTGGAGAACGGGTTTGGCACCGCGCCAAACTCATCCCGCCTGACGCGCCCAACCGTCCGCAGCGAATCCATTCTGCACATCGGGACTTTGCCGCCCGCCGCGTCGCGCGCGACGGGGCGTCGTACCTTGGTTATCTTGCTCGCCTCCATGCAGAAGATGGTACATAAGTTATCCATCATCACTGAATTGATGTGAAGTTTGCATAAGCCCTAGAAAGGGTACAGTAGGGGCTGACCCTGTGAACGGATTCAGGCCTACCTATAAGGCCATTTTTCTAATGCAGTAAACAGAAGCTGCGCGTCGGTGAGGAGGAGGCACTGGCTTCGCTCATGCGATGGAGGCGATTGCCCCACCACGAATCCGGCCCCTGACACGCCTCAGCATGTGCAGCGAACAAAACTGTACACCTGCCCCCAAAAGTTGAGTACCATAGAAGCCAAAGTTCAAAATAGCCGCCAAGTCTGTCGTGGGACGTAATTGCACAAGACCCTTTCTGCTCAACGACTAGTTCACTATTTTCGAAGTGTTTGCCGCGAATACCTTTGACTTGCTTATTTCTTGTAAACTTTGCTTCCAAAACGAACTGGAAGATATATGATTGAATTCCTGTTGCTTATCAGAGGAAAACTTTCGACAACAGTTTTCGGGAGTATCCTTGTTTCATTGGGATTTCGTGGTGTTTAGACGATTTCGTGCTTATTGTTCCTCTTTTTTCGCTATTCTTTTACGCATTTGAAACTCACTATTCGGTACCTTCGTGAGTGACAGTAGGAGACACATAAATAATAATCTTCAGCCAACTCTAAACAATGGATGTAGACGATTTATTTGGAGCTTTTGAAGCAGTCGGTAATGGTGGCGATTCGTCCCCAGCGACCGTGATATCCACGGATAAAATGTCATCGGTTCGTTTTTTTCTGCTTATGGCTATGGACCTTGCAACTTTATCGTTTTATTTATTAATTTCATACAGATTACCTAAAAATGCTTTAGCTTGATGCTGCACGTCAGGAAGAAGCACGAAGACAAGCTGCTGCTCTTCTGAATTCTATGCTACAGGGCGATTGTGGTGACACAGTTGAGCCAGCACAGAAGAAGGTATCTATGAAAGCTCTGAACAGGCGATTCGCAATCTGCATGCTCTATACCTTGACAAGCCTT